GTCCCATCCCTGTGTCAGGGAGATCCCCTGGAGGAAAACAGCAACACACTCCAGTATTTTTGCCTGGAGAATTCCATGGGCAAAGGAGCTTGGTGAGCTATAGTCCATAGGGTCCCAAAGAACTAGACACCACTTGGTGACTAAAACAACATCATCCATAGTACACATAAAAACATAAAATATTGTGGTTCAGTTCAGCTCATTTCAGTGACTCAGTCTTATCCAACTTTTTGTGACCCCATGGACCACAGCACACCAGGCCTCCCTGTCCATCGCCAGCCCCTGGAGTTTAGTCAAACTCATGTCCACTGAGTCGGTGATGCCATCCAACCATCTCATCCTCTGTTGTCCCCTTCTCCTCCTGCCTTCAATCTTTCCCAGCATCAGGGTCTTTTCAAATGAGTCAGTTCTTCGAATCAGGTGGCCAAAGTATTGGAGTTTCAGCTCCAGCATCAGTCCTTCCAATGAATATTAAGGATTGATTTCCTTTTGGATGGACTGATTGGATCTCCTTGCAGTCCAAAGGACTCTCAAGAGTCTTCTCCAAAACCACAGTTCAAAAGCATCAATTCTTTGGCCCTCAGCTTTCTTTATAGTCCAACTCTCACATCCATACATGACTACTGGAAAAACCATAGCTTTGACTAGACAGACCTTTGTTGGCAAAGTAATGTCTCTGCTTTTTAATATGCTGTCTAGGCTGGTCATAACTTTTCTTCCAAAGTAGGGAATTAATAAAATATGTGTAAGATGTGTAAAATGGAAACTATAAAATATTAATTTCTCAGAGAAATAAAAGTCACAAATAAATGGAGATATATACCATGATTCTATACTGAAGGACTTAATATTGTTAAAATTTCAATTCTATTGATCTTCAGTTTCAACACAATCCTGATTCAAATGCCAGCAAGAAGTTTGAAAGTAACAAACTGATTCAAAAATGTACATAGAGAATAATGTCAGCAAGATTGTTTCATAGGAGATTCCACTCTCTGTCCCCACAATGAAAACAACAATTGGACAGACAGATGTGAATAAAATAGCTCTGATAGAGTTCAGGAGTCCACTTAAGAAGCTGCATCAACATAGCAGTGCAAAGTAAAATGAGGGACAACTGTGGAAGAAACCAATGCCAACACAACCACTGAATCTGCCCACAGTTCTTGCCACAGAGGGTCCCACAGGTTTAATGGTCTCAGACTCCTGGTGCTGAGTCCTTCCACCCTCCCAAACAGGAGCCATGACAGCTAATGCCTCCCTGGAACTCAGCACAGCCATTATACGTGCAGCAAAACTAGTCCTGGTCCTGAAGCCAGGCATGCACATGCCACCAGCTCTGACTCAGGAACTGAACTTGTGCCTGCGATCATCCACAGATCCCAACACAGGCCCTGCCCTTGCCACAATGCATACACCACTGCCCTGTGCATTCACCTACAGCCCCACAACTGAGCCTGTGTACACTCCTGGCACTAGCAATCATCACTACCTTCCATATTTTCCTATTGCTGAAGCCAGAGACACTGATGAGAACCATTATAATTATGTTTCTATACACTAACAGTGAAAACCCCAAAGGGAAATTAAGGAAAGATAAAATACAGGAATAGAATGAATCACAGAAGGGAAAGACTTATACAGTAAAAACTGCAAAACATTGATTAAAAACTTTAAAAAGACACAAATAAGGAGAACTATAACTCACTTTCATGAATTGGAAGACTAATACTGTTAAAATATTCATGCCACAGAAAATGATATAAACAGTCAATTCAGTTCCTATCTAAATCCTACTAGGATTTAGGTACATTTTTTTACAGAACTAGAAAAATGATCCTAAAAATCATATGCAACCACAAAGGACTCTGAACAGCCAAAACAAGCTTGAGAAAATAAAAACAAAGCTGGAGGCACCACATCTCCTCATTTCAAAACATATTACAAAGCTGCAGTAATTAAAACATTATGATATTGACAGGCAGACATATAAACCAATGGCAAAGAACAGAGCCCAGAAAACACACACAACTGCACACGCACATACAGAGTCAACTGATCTTGAACAAGGGTGCCAGGAATGCACAATGGGGAAAAATGATCTCTTCCATAAATGGTGTTGTGAACCACTGCATACATAGATGAAAAACAATGAAATTTGATATTTATCTTAAATCACACACACAGAACAATTCAAAATAGATTAACGATTGAAACACAATGCCTGAAACTGTAAAATTATTAGAAGGAAACATAGGAGGAAAACTGTATGACATGGGTTTTGGCAATGATTTCTTGGATATTACACCTAATGCATAGGCAACAAAAGCAAAAGTAGACAAGAGGGACAACATAAAACAAAAAGCTTCTGCATAGCAAAGGAAACCATAAATAGAGTGAAAGTGTCACATATAAAATGGGAAAATATCTTCAAATCACGTATCTGATAAGAAATATACAAAATACAAAAGAAATTCCTATGCCTCCATACAAAAAGAAAAAAAAAAAAAAAACAAGTATCACAATTAAAAATAAGCATTGGACCTGAACAGACAATTCTCCAAAGAAGATATAAAAATGGTAAACAGGTATGTAAAATGTGCTCAATGTCAATAATTATCAGGTAAATACAAAGCAAAACCACACTGAGATATCACCTCATACCTATTATGAAGGCCATTTTTTTTAAAAAGACATGTACTGGCATGAATGTTCAGAAATTGAGAACATATGCTGGTACAGCCATTATGGATAAAAAGCATGGAGGGTACCCTAAAATTGAAAAATACAATTGCCATATGATCCAGTGCTCCACCTCTGGGTGTTTATATAAAAGAAGTAAACTCAGGATCTCAAATAAATATTGCATTCCCAGGTTTATTGTAGCATTATTCACAAAGGCCAAGACATGGGAATAAGCCAAATGTCCATCAACAGATATGTAGGTTAAGAAAATGTGATAAATACACATATATACACAGTAGAATATTATTCACTCTTTTAAAAGAAGGAAATTTACTATATACAACAACATGGATGAACCTTACGGACATTTTTGCTACTAAAATGAGCCAGTCACAGAAAGACAAAAACTGCATAATCCTACTTACATGAGATGGTATCTAAAGTAGTTAAACCCAGGAATTCCCTGGCGGTCCTTCATCAAGAGATGGTTAGGACTCCATCTCTCCTTTCCAAGGGCCCACATTCAATTCCTAACTAGTGCCTTAGTTACCTGTTGGGAAACTAAGATCTCACAAGCTGCATGGTATGGGCAAGTAATAAATTTTTTTTAAAAAAGCATTTTTTTACTAAAAATAATTTAACTATTTAAACCCACAGAAACAGAAAGCAGAATGGCAGTTACCTAGGGCTGAAAGTAGTTGGAAAATGGAAATTTCTATGCAAAACTGCTACAGAACTACTGTACAATAGTGTGCTTCTAGTTGACAATACTTAAAAAGTCATTAGAAACGTAGATTTCCTGGGGGAAATGTTAGGACAACTGGGACACTGACACAACAGGTATAAATTGTGATTCTCCCACTCAGAGGAAAATAAAGGAGCTTCATTTTTCTTTGCCCCTTTGGGGTACTGCTTGTAATTTTGCTACCTGGCATATTACTGTGTCTGTGTTTTCTAAGGTGTGGTTTCCTAGGTGAGAGTTCACTTAGCTAATGACAATACATGAGCCCAGGATGCCAGCATGATGCCTGCAGCTCTGTCTCCCATTGGTCCATTTCTTTTGCCATTGAAAGAAATTTAATCTGCCTGATTGACAAGCCTGTCTTGGTTGTTTAGTTATAAGCATAGAGCTGAGCAAGTCAGAGGAAAACAAACTGAGCACATACTATGTGGTCAATAGACATTTTAATAAAGGAGCCATTGTTGGAGGTGTTCTTGAAAGCCACCAACTCCAATCTATTTTCCTTGTAACAGCAGTAACCTCAGAGGCACTTTTATGACTGTGTGTTTATGATTCATATAAGCATATATATATTTAATAAAAATCTAAATAACCAAAAAGTAGAGTGCAGTCCTAAGATGGCAGAGGAATAGGACGGGGAGACCACTTTCTCCCCCACAAATTCATCAAAAGATTATTTGAACTGAGCAAATACCACAAAACAACTTGTGAATGCTGACAGAGGACACCAGGACACCAGGCACCAGAAAGGCAGCCCACCATTGTGGAAAGGAGGTAGGACAAAATATAAAAGATAAAAAGAGAGACAAAAGAGTTAGGGGTGGATACCCATCCTGGGGAGGGAGTCTTAAAAGAGGAGAAGTTTCCAAACACCAGGAAACCCTCTCACTGGTGGGTCTGTGGGGAGTTTTGGAATCTCAGAGGGCAACATAACTGGGAGGAAAAAGTAAATAAAACCCACAGATTACACATCTAATGGCAACTCCCAGTGGAGAAGTAACCCAGACGCTCATGTCCACCACCAGCAAGGTGGGGGTTGAACAGGGAGGCATGGGCAACGTTACTTGGGGTAAGGACTGGGCCTGAATGCCCTGAGGGCAATCTGAGGGAGCTAACGTGAGATAGCAACCCAAATTGTGGGGTAGCCAGAAAGGAAAAAAAAAAAAAAGAGAGAGAGGAGAGAGAGAGAGAGAGAACTTTCCCCCGAAAAGCGCTAACCTAAGGCACTGCCAGCCCACTCACAGAACAAAGGACTGAGAAAATACCAGAGGAGAGTTAGCTGGCTATGGATCAGTCCATCTTCCGCCAAAGGCAGGGAGGCAGGTGGGTGGCAGCCAGGGCTGAAAAGGGGCAAACTCGGCCCCAGAGACAGCATCCCCTACCAAACTGCGAGCAGGCTTCCAGTTGCTAACCAAGTCTTCCTGGGTCCTGGACGGTCAACATCCACCGGGAGGGTCATAATCAGCTAGAAATAATAATCAGCTAGGCCAGAAATCAGCTCTCCAGAGGAGACACACGGCAAACCCATTGTGCACCCAGGAAACCAAGTGGCTGGGATCAGGAAGGTGATAAGATGCACTGTACCTGGGGAGAGTGCACTTGTCAAATTCCTGGTCCCCTGAGCAGCTCAGACCTGGGAAGGGCACAAAACACGGGCCCAGTTGAGTCTGTGCCTTTGTGGATTACCTGGGAACCTGAACAGTGTAGATCTGGGAAGTGCACGCAACCCAGGAACCACTTTACACAGGTTCCCAGCAGAGCAACCTGGAGCCTGAGCACTGTAGGCCAAGAAAGCACACATGCCGTGAGTGTGGGCAAACCCCGCGAGCGCTCCCCACACACGCCAGTGATATTTGTTTGCAGTGTTCCTCCCTCCCTGCAGCACAGTTGAACAAGTGAGCTGAAATAAATGACCACCTTCGCCCCCTTGAGTCAGGGCAAAGGTTAGATACTGAAGAGACTTGCAAGAAGAGGAAGCCAAAATTAACAAAGAAAAGGGAACAGCTTTGGAACTGACAGGTGCAACAGATTAAAACCCTGTAGTATAATGGGCTCCAGTTTCATCCATCTCATTAGAACTGATTCATCATGTAAATCCATGGCTGATTCATGTCAATGTATGACAAAAACCACTACAATACTGTAAAGTAATTAGCCTCCAACTAATAAAAATAAGTGGGAAAAAAATTTAAAATGTAAAAAAAAAAAAAAATGTAGTTAGCACTGGCTACATTGGAAGGGACCTATAGACCTTGAGAAGAAGTATAAGGTGGAACAAGGAACTATCTGAAACTGAACTGACAACACACTGCCCTCAACAGCTCCAGAGAAATTCCTAGATATATTTTACTATTTTCATTTTTTAATTTTTAAAAAAAATTTTTTATTTTTAACTTCTTTATTACTTCTTTAATTTTCATTTTTAAAACCTACTATTACCTTGAAAAAAAAGACACTATTTTAAAGCAAATTTTGTATTTTTTATATAAGTTTTGCAATTTTTTTTAATGTTGTATTTTCAAGAGTCTAACCACTACTCTAGATTTTTAATCTTTGCTTTTTGGTATTTGTTATCAATTCTGTACCTTTAAGAATCCAATCTTTAGTACCCACTTTTACTTAGGAGTGTGATTACTGGCTTGACTGCCCTCTCACCTTTGACTCTCCTTTTTCTCCTCCAGATCAACTGTATCTCCTCCCTCCCCCTCTCTTCTCTACTTATTGCTGTGAATCTCTTTGGGTGTTCCGGGCCATGGAGAAAACTTAGGGAATTGATCACAGGCTAGATTGGTCTCTCTTCTTTTGACTCCCCCTCTTCTCCTCCTGGTCACCTCTATCTCCTTCCTTCCTCTTCTCTTCTCTATGGAACTCCGTGAACCTCTCTGAGTGTTCCAGACTGTGGAGAGCAAATAGGAAAATGATTACTGGCTAGACTACTCTCTACCTTTTGATTCCTCCTCTTCTCTTCCTGGTCACCTCTATCTCCCTCCTCCCTCTTCTCTTCTTCATGTAACTCTGTCAACCTCTCTGGGTGTCTCTCACTGTGGAGAATCTTTTCATCATTAACCAAGATGTTTTATCATCGGTGTGGTATGGATGGAGAAGTCTTGAGGCTATTATAAGAATAAGATAAAGCCATAGGCAGGAGGCCTAAATCCAAAACTTGAGAACACCAGAAAACTCCTGACTCCAAGGACCATTAATCGACAAAAGTTCATCCAAAAGTCTCCATACCTACACTGAAACCAAGCTCCACCCAAGAGCCAACAAATTCCAGAGCAAGACATACCAAGCTAATTCTCCAACAAAGCAGGAACATAACCCTGAACACAAAAATGCAGGCGGCCAAAAGTCACACCAAACCCACAGACACCTCAAAACTCACTACTGGACACTTCATTGCACTCCAGAGAGAAGAGATCCAGCTCCACCCACCAGAACACTGACGCAAGCTTCCCTATCCAGGAAACCTTGATAAGCCACTCATTCAAGCCCACCCACACAAAGGAACCTCCACAATAAAGAGGAACCACAAACTTCCAGCATACAGAAAGTCAGCCCCAAACACAGCAACCTAAACAAGATGAAAAGGCAGAGAAATATTCAGCAGGTAAAGGAACATTATAAAAGCCCACCAAACCAAACAAAAGAGGAGGAGATAGGGAGTCTAACTGAAAAAGAATTCACAATTATGATAGTAAAAATGACCCAAAATTTTGAAAACAAAATGGAGTTAGAGATAAATAATCTGGAGACAAGAATTGAGAAGATGCAAGAAAAGCTTAACAAGGACCTAGAAGAAATAAAAAAGAGTCAATACATAATGAATAATGCAATGATTGAGATCAAAAGCTCTCTGAAGGGAACCAACAGTAGAATAACTGATGCAGAAGATAGGATAAGTGAGGTGGAATATAGAATGGTGGAAATAAATGAAGCAGAGAGGAAAAAAGAAAAAATAATCAAAAGAAATGAGGACAACCTCAGAGACCTCTGGGACAATGTGAAACACCCCAACATTTGAATCATAGGAGTCCCAGAAGAAAAAGACAAAAAGAAAGGCCATGAGAAAACACTTGAAGAGATAATAGTTGAAAACTTCCCTAAAATGGGAAAGGAAATAGCCACCCAAGTCCAAGAAACCCAGAGAGTCCCAAACAGGATAAACCCAAGGCAAAGCACCCCAAGACATATATTAATCAAATTAATGAAGATCAAACACAAACAACAAATATTAAAAGCAGCAAGGGAAAAATAACAAATAACCCACAAGGGGATCCCCATAAGGATAACAGCTGATCTACCAATAGAAATTCTTCAAGACAGAAGGGAATGGCAGGACATACTTAAAGTGATGAAAGAGAAAAGCCTACAACCCAGATTACTATACCCAGCAAGGATCTCATTCAAATATGACAGAGAAATTAAAAGCTTTATAGACAAGCAAAAGCTCACAGAATTCAGCATGACCAAACCAGCTCTTCAACAAATGCTAAAGGATCTTCTCTAGACAGGAAACACAGACAAGGTGTATAAACACGAACCCAAAACAACAAAGTAAATGGGAATGGGATAATACTTATCAATAATTACCTTGAATGTAAATGGGTTGACCCCAACCAAAAGACAAAGACTGGCTGAATGGATACAAAAACAATACCCCTATATATGCTGTCTACAAGAGACCCACCTCAAATGTAGAGAAACATACAGATTAAAAGTGAAGGACTAGAAAAAGATATTTCAAGCAAATGGAGACCAAAAGAAAGCAGGAGTAGCAATACTCATATCAGATATAATAGACTTTGAAATAAAGGCTGTGAAAAGAGACAAAGAAGAACCCCACATAATGATCAACGGATCAATCCAAGAAGAAGATGTAACAATTATAGATGTATATGCACCCGACATAGGAGCACCGCAATATGTAAGGCAAATGCTAACAAGTATAAAAGGGGAAATTAACAGTAACACAATAATAGTGGGAGACTTTAATACCCCACTCACACCTATGGATAGATCAACTAAACAGAAAATTAACAAGGAAACACAAACTTTAAATGATACAATAGACCAGTTATACCTAATTGATATCTATAGGAGATTTTACCCTAAAACAATGAATTTCACCTTTTTCTCAAGTGTACATGGAACCTTCTCCAGGATAGATCACATCCTGGGCCATAAATGTAGCCTTGCTAAATTCAAAAAAATTGAAATGACATCAAGCATCTTTTCTAATCATATGCAGTAAGATTAAATATCAAGTGCAGGGGGGGAACTATTAAAAATACAAACATATGCAGGCTAAACAACACACTTCTGAATGACCAAAAAATCACAGAAGAAATCAAGAAAGAAATCAAAATATGCATAGAAACAAATGAAAATGAAAACACAACAACCAAAAGCCTATGGAATTCCGTAAAAGCAGTGCTAAGGGGAAGGTTCATAGCAATACAAGCTTACCTCAAGAAACAGGAGAGAAATCAAACAAATAACCCAACTCTACACCTAAAGCAACTAGAAAAGAAAGAAATGAAAAATCCCATGGTTATTAGAAGGAAAGAAATCACAAAAGTTAGGGCAGAAATAAATGCAAAAGAAACAAAAAGAGACCATAGCAAAAATCAACAAAGCTAAAAGCTGGTTCTTTGAGAAGATAAATAAAATAGACAAACCATTAGCCAGACTCATCAAGAAACAAAGGGAGAAGAATCAAATGAACAAAATTAGAAATGAAACTGGAGAAATCACAACGGAAAACACAGAAATACAAAGAATCATAAGAAACTATTATCAGCAACTATATGTGAATAAAATGGACAACTTGGAAAAAATGGACAAATTCTTAGAAAAGTATAACTTTCCAAAACTGAACCAGGAAGAAATAGAAAATCTGAACAGACCCATCACAAGCACAGAAATCGAAACCATCATGTGAAATCTTCCAACAAACAAAAGCCCAGGACCAGATGGCTTCACAGCTGAATTCTACCAAAAATTTAGAGAAGAGCTAACACCTATCCTACTCAAACTCTTCCAGAAAATTGCAGAGGAAGGTAAACTTCCAAACTCATTCTATGAGGCCACCTAATACCAAATACCAAAACCAGACAAAGATGCCACAAAAAAAGAAAACTACAAGCCTATATCACTGATGAATATAGATGCAAAACTCCTTAACAAAATTCTAGCAAACAGGATCCAACAACATATTAAAAAGATCATACCTCATGACCAAGTGGGCTTTATCCCAGGGATGCAAAGATTCTTCAATATTTGCAATCAATGTGATACACCACATTAACAAATTACAAGATAAAAACTACATGATTATCTCAATAGATGCAGAAAAAGCCTTTGACAAAATTCAACATCCATTTATTATCAAAACTCTCCAGAAAGCAAGAATAGAAGGAAAATACCTCAACATAATAAAAGCCATATATGATAAACCCACAGGAAACATTATCTTCAATGGTGAAAAATTGAAAGCATTTCCCCTAAAGTCAGGAACAAGAGAAGAATGCCCACTCTCACCACTACTATTCAACATAGTTTTGGAAGTTTGACCACAGCAATCAGAGCAGAAAAAGAAATAAAAGGAATCTAGACTGGAAAAGAAGAAGTAAAACTCTCACTGTGTGCAGATGACATGATCCTCTACATAGAAAACCCTAAAGACTCCACCAGAAAATTACTACAGCTAATCAATGAATACAGTAAAATTACAGGATATAAAATTAACACAGAGAAATCCCTTGCATTCCTATACACTAACAATAAGAAAACAGAAGAGCAATTAAGGAAAGAATTCCATTCACCTTTGCAACGAAAAGAATAAAATACTTAGGAATAAATCTATGTAAAGAAACAAAAGACCTATAC